ATTAGGTATCTTAAAAACGGATATTTCGGACCACTTTCCTATTTTTCTAACTATAAACACCGACCAACTGCCTAAACAAAAATTAAATAAAATTGTAAAAAAACGTTTTTATACATCATCAAACATTGAGGCCTTTAAAAATCAGCTCTCATTATTACATTGGAAACACTTAAATTTTAATGAAAATGCAAACAACCTTTATGAAAAATTCTATGAAACTTTTATCTCTGTTTACGAGTCTAATTTTCCAATTGTTACAATTACATTAAAAACAAAACACTTTGATAATCCCTGGATTACCAAGGGGTTCAAAAAATCATCCAAAACTAAACAAAGGCTATACATAAAATATCTAAAAACAAAAACACCAGATAGCGAAAAAATTTACAAAGATTACAAAAATCTATTCGAAAAAATCCGAAAAAAATTAAAAAAAAATTACTATTCAAAATTAATTAATAAAGCTAAAAATGACTCAAAACGCACTTGGCAAATATTAAAAGAAATTACAGGAAAACAAAAAACATGCTCAAGCTCTTTGCCACAAATGCTTAAAGTTGATAACAATAACTTGCATGAGCCACAAATAATAGCTCATGAATTCAATAAATATTTTACTGAAATTGGATCAATCTTATCAAGTAAAATACAAAAAACTCAGACCTCATTTTATGATTTTTTGTTACCTTTTGATAAAAATATTTTCTCTGAAGAATTATCTGCTGAACTATCATTTGATGAGTTTGAGAAAGCTTTTAAATCTTTAAAAAAGAATAAAGCACCTGGTGCAGATGAAATAAACGGGAATATTGTTATAGATTGCTATGAACAATTAAAAAATATTCTTTTCAAAATTTTCAGAGCATCTATTCATCAAGGTATTTTTCCTGAACGTTTAAAACTTGCCAGAGTTACCCCTCTCCATAAAGAAGGCGACAGATCCAATATCAATAATTATCGCCCTATCTCTGTTCTTTCTATATTTTCTAAAATTTTAGAAAGAATTATTTTCAATAGAGTATACAATTATTTTAATTACAACAATTTATTATATAACAATCAGTATGGTTTCAGAAAAGGGAGCTCAACTGAACATGCCATCATTCAATTTATACATAACATCTCTAAATCTTTTGAAAAATCTCAATACACACTAGGTGTCTTTATTGACCTATCAAAAGCTTTTGATACGGTCGATCACCACATCTTAATCCAAAAAATTAAATATTATGGTTTAAACAATAAAATTTTAAAATGGTTTGAAAGCTATTTAACAAATCGAAAGCAACTTGTGTATAGTAATGATGGTTATCAAAGTGAACCCCTGAGCATAACTTGTGGTGTTCCACAAGGCTCTATTCTCGGACCACTACTATTTTTAATCTATGTAAACGATTTAAACAAAGCTTCCAAATTGAAAAGTATAATGTTCGCTGATGATACTAATCTTTTCTTATCCCATACTGATATTTATGAACTCTTTTCAACTACAAACAAAGAACTCAAACACATTTCGAACTGGTTCAAAGCTAATAAATTAACTTTAAATATTAACAAAACAAAATGGATTATTTTTCACTCCTGCGCAAAAAAACGATTTTTAACAAATAATATGCCTCAAATTTACATTGATGAAACTATAATAAAAAGAGATACTGTTATAAAATTCTTAGGTGTTTATCTTGATGAAAATATTACTTGGAGAAAGCATATTGATCATATAAGCACCAAAGTTTCTAAAAATATTGGCATTTTATACAAAGCTCGAAATTATCTAAACAAAAAAAACTTAACCCAACTCTATTATTCATTTATACATAATTATATAAATTATGCAATCATAGCCTGGGGAAGTACGGAGAAAAGTAAATTACAACATCTTTATCGCCGTCAGAAACATGCAATCCGTGTAGTTAATTATGCGGATCGCTTTTCACGTTCGAAATATTTTTTTGATTATATGAATGTACTAGATGTTTATAAACTTAACATATTTAATGTTTTATGTTTTACTTTTATGTGGAAAAACGATTTATCTTTATTTGTTTTCAATGACCTTTTTTCTTTAAAACCAATAAATAAATACACATTAAGAAGTAATAGTTTTCTAAATGAACCATTTTGTAAAACGAAGTTCAACCAATTCTGTATTGCATATCGTGCACCCCATCTTTGGAATAAAATAGTATTACCAAATTTTGACCCTTCTACTACTCTTCCTGTTTTTAAAACTAAATTAAAAAACTTCATTCTCTGTATGGACAACATCCTAAAATTCTACTAAAAATTTATGTAAAATGTATTTTTCAAATCTTCAGCATATTGAGTATTAAAATGTTAGTATATTGTATATTTGCATTATGTTATATTGTATTAGTATATTGCATATTTGCATTATGTTAAATCTTTGCATTATGTCTTTTTTAAGGTTCCGGTGATAAGATCCTTCTGATCTTCTTTCGGAAACCTAGTCTTATATTGTTAGTACGCTGAATTGTATATACATATATATATATATATACTCATTTTTTTTCTTTTCTTGTAGAAGTCTTAAATATTTTTATGTATCTGACTTATATTATTATATATCACGACTTATATTATTATATATGTATCAGACTTATATTATTATATATCACGACTTATATTATTTTGTATCACGACTAACATTGTAAACTAAAAAAAAAAAAAAAAAAAAAAAAAAAAAAAAAAAAAAAAAAAAAAAAAAAAAAAAAAAAAAAAATTCGAGATATTTCAATGTTAGAGTGACCTCCCATATTAAGGCCAATAATATGAGGTTTGACTTATGAATTTTATTCCCATGGGAAATTTCAAATTTCTATTATTATTATGATCTAGAATTAAGCAAAAACGATGAATTAATTTAAAACAAACTTTAAAAATACTACACACTATTTTAAATATATTTTTGAAATCTTTTATAAAAAAGGAGAGTTTAATTTACGACACCGGTTTTGAAGTGGGGGACGGGGGAGATGGTACAATTATCAATTTGTGAATTGATGATTGTGCCATCTCAAGTCCTTAATATCAAGATTTTTCGTAAAAAAAAAAAAAAAAAAAAAAAAAAAGATCCTTTAAAAAAAAAGTGGGAAGGGGGGCACGTGCCCCCCTGGCCCCCAGTGTCGTCGGCCCTGCTGTCTTATTTTATCTGGTTATGTCTAGTTAATTGATAAATAGAAGAAGATAACATTTTTTTAAAGCTTTACTAACTGAAAAAATAACATATATAGAAAAAAGTAAATTTAATTCTGCTGCGTGCTAAACTTTTGAGCACTGTTGTTTATTGTTAATACATTTGTAAATTTAACCTTGCCATAAACTGCTTAAAAAAATTTGTCTCAAGGAACTATGAATTGTTCATTAATTACGCAATGCTGAGTTTATTTAATAAATAGAATTTGGAAATCATTTTCATTTTTTGCGTGGTAATTTTCATTGACGTTAAAGAACTGTTTTAATTTTTACTTTAATTAAAGACTCTATGAGGCAAGATTTGTGATCTTATTTGTTATGCTTATTAACAAAAATTTTAATTGCGTAATAAAAACAATCTTCTTGAATAGTTAAACTGTGGTGTTACAAATTTGCCGCTTCCTTCTTCCCCCTGTCACAAGTAAACTCAAAATCTATAACCTCATTAATGTTCCCAAGAGTTTAATTTAAATATATTGTAATGTAAATGTAAAAATGTAAATAAAGTATACCAACTAACTGCATTTTGATTTAGTTATAGAAATAATGCATAACAGTTTTGCAACTTTGTTGTACAATAATTGTTGCGGAAATAAATTTCTATTTCCACAACAACTATTTTCAACGTCTGCTGGACGCCTAAAGGGCATCCTACGGACTTGTGACATCCAGAAGACATTGTATAGACGTCCCACGGACGTCTGTGCCCTCTGGGTACCTTGTGAATATTTGTAGGCCTAATACAATAGAATGACATTTTTAGGGTAGTCTACAATCACTTATCGTATATTAACTTACACCCCATTTTGTTTACTAGACAAGGCCTAGCCAGTAATTTATAAAGTAAGATTCTTTTCATTCAAGAAAGTGTTTTGATTCTATTGGCAAAGAAAACATTGATTATGCATTTATGAATTTCTAAAAGCAGTTCAATACCAAAGAAGAGCAGGATTTATTTTTGCATGACTTGATGTTACAAATATGGCGAGGAAGAGGCCTAGTTCAAAAATGGACGTTAAAAGTTAAGTATAGCTGATAAAACAGTAGTTAAAAAAATGTTTCAAAATAATAAACAAATAATAAAAAATCTATCAATTATAATAAACCATCTGCTTTATTTGTTTTTTAAAAAGATCAGGAGTGACTGAAGTTAAAGAGGATGTGTGACGTTAACAGAGTATGTAAAATCTTTTTAAATACATTTGATTTTATTTCTAGTAGGCATGCTAAAAAGAGTGGTTTAAAAAAAAAATGACGTAAAAATAACTTTAATTATTTTTGAAACCAAATTTTAGATACCATCACAGTTTATTCGAGCTAAGAGACTAATAATTTTACAGCGTCAAACTGCGTTTTGACGCATTTTTCGCAATTTTATTGTGTTTTGCCGAGTTCCTATTCTTGAGTCAGAAGGACGTAACATACACACGTATGATAATTTATAAATAAATTTTTAAACTTCTAAATTAAATGATAAAACCTTTTAATTTTTTACCAACACTGTTGCTTTTCAGTTAGTAAGCTTTATTTTCTAAAATCTTTGCTTAACTACCTCAGTTTTTATACATTTTGTTTAAAAAAAAAAGAGTTTTATTACAATGCAAACAAAGTGATTCAATCTACATTAGTTTAGTAATGTTATTCAGTTAAGAATATTGTCAACTATTTTTTTGCGACATTTCAAGTAACATATAAGAGGAAATCCCTTGTTATTTTAATGCAAACACGTGAAATTTGATTTTCTAAAAAAAGTTAAAATAACAAAAGAACTTTTTTTAAATAGAAAATGTTATTTAGCTGTAAAAAAAATCGAGAAACCTTCTTGTACTTTTAAAACTGGTTAAATTAAAATTTGAAAATTTAAAAATTTAAAATTATAACATAACATCCTGGATTAACTGAAGTTTAAAGATACGACTTTACTCAATAATTCATAAAATTGGGCAATTCAAAATGATATTACGTATAATGGTGTTTGTAATCGCCAGTTTTATAAAGCCTAATTTAGCCCAATCTCAAAACTGCGTTGATTTAGCCTCACCGCAGACATGTTACTCACTCTTTATGAGTCGGATGTGCAGGGATATATCTCAGTACCAATTCATGTTCTCTTATTGTAAAAAGACTTGTGAATTTTGTACTTCTTCTACGTCACATATTTCTAAATTTGCAAACTGTGAAGATAGACGTCATCAATGCCCGAAATGGAAACATTTTTGCTCTCACGAAAGTAAATACTACAGCTTTATGGCGAGTAACTGCCAAAAAACTTGTCTGTTTTGCTCTGAAACCAACTGCATTGATTTAGATGAAAATTGTTCTGACTTTGCAAAGCTTGGTTATTGTTCTAATGAACATTTTTTTAATATGGAAAAAAAATGCCCTCGGTCATGTGGCGTTTGCAGCAATAAAAAATATGAAAATTTTGTCAAAAAAGACAATCAAGACGTAATAAAAGAGTTTTTTTGTGATTTTGAAAATAATGAATGCGATTGGATAAACGAACACTTTGATGATACCGCAGATTGGAAAGTTGGGATAATAAACGGAGAAACAAAGCTGAACAAAAATTTATCTAATAACTATTTATATTTAAAAACAGAACATGAAAGCTATTTCGGAAATCTTTTGCTACCATGGCAACTTGTTCTTCCCGATCCTGTCCAAGATATAGGAGAAATGTGTTTAAATTTTGAACTGCAAATGAGTGGAGGCAAAATATCAATAATGGAGATTCAAAATCCTTCTAATAAAAATAAAAATCCGACGCCACGAATTATATATTCATTGGATAAAGTGAATGAAAATGTAGCTAAAGAATGGAATAAAATTCAAGTTACTGTTAATGTTAGTTCAAAAAACAACCTTATAATCGTCGGTACAAAAGGTCCTATAGGAACTTATATCGCTATTGATAATATGTTTTTTGTAGCGGGTAGTTGCTAAAAATTTTTTTCAATGCTTCATACAATTTTTTATGCAATTCAAGATGCAATCCTTCATGCAATCTTACATGCAATCTTTCATGCAATTATTCCCAAATAATTTTACTTATTACTTTTCTTACATATTTGGTGGGGCAAAAAACATAAAGGCTAAACATGGGAGAAAAAAATAAAAATAAAAATGCTTGGCCAATAAAGTTGATAAATTCTTCAACAAATACTTAACAGCAGAAACAATACACCAAATAAAATGACACCTATCAGTTACAAATTAAGCGAAGGTTTAAAAATTAATATTTGTAAACCTTTGGGCAAATAATAAAACTATCAATTTATGTAAAATTGAGAAATTAAGTGTTTTCTAGTGAATATTAAATTGATTAAAAAATTAGTTAATAATAATTTATACAAATCAAATAGAGAAATAAATCTTAACACCTTGTTTTAGGGCCATCTTTAAAGAAAGTAAATGTTTTCTCTTAACTATTGAACGAATCAAATTTTGAAGGATGAAAAGTTAAAACGGCTTATTTTTCTTTCTTTTTAACCTTTGGTTTTTGATTTTTTTGCATTTGAAACCTGATTTCTGAAAATTAAATTTTTTTTTTTGTTTAAACAAAAACACAAGTTTTAATGCTCAGAAACAAGAAATATTAGAAAATAAAAACACAAAAAAATTTTCTGTTATTCTATGATTGATACTGACAGTAAGATCAAAATGGTAAAAAAAAATTTAATTTAAAAGGAGCTTTGACGTTCAGAGCCGCAGCTTTGAAATCAATTGTAAATTCGGTAAATTCCTTAAAACCTGCTCTTATTAACGTAGTCAGGGTATAAGCTCTGTTTTTGTAACTGAGAAAATGGTGCTTTTGCTTTTTTTGTAATTATTTCTTTAAAACATTTTCATATAAAACCTTAATCACTATAAAAAATAATTTAAAAACTCTTTCAACTAAAAACTATGGTTTAAAAACACTTTTAACATTCTATTAGGTTGATTTTTTTTTTTAATAAAAAATTATTGCATTGCAAGAAAAAAATAAATTCATACAACATACAGGCCATAAAGTTAAATTATTATGAGACATTTTAATGAAAAAATTAAAAAAAAAATCATATAATTCAGAGGTGTTACTATAAATTTGCATTCTTTATATTAGGGGTGTTCAGAAAAATTAGGGGTGTTCAGAAAAAAAACTTAAACTAACTCCCGTCAAATTTGAGCACCATTGAATCACTATTTCCCTCAAAATACATATTTAAAAAAAAAAGATTTCAAAAGGGTTAAAAACTGCTAATTTTAATTATAAATGTATTTACAAACTTCATATTGTTTTCATTTTTAAAAAGTTCAGCCAGATTTAGTGCAATCTATGCCTCTAAAATCAGCAGCAGCTTAATTCAGAATGTCACTTGGACTTCTGCTTAACATTTGGTGAAACATCACTTATCGTAGCCATAATAGCAACGCTCCTAGCATACACATCTATTGGAATTTCTGCTGCTCCTTTACTGTTAAATTGCAGTGGTTATTTTTGGTAATAATCAGGTTCTTTTTTGATTATTCTTTAGACCAGAATACTGTTTGTCTAACTTTTTGAGAACGTTGTTTTAGTTTAGTGTCACTTAAAATATCAAACCCCAAGGTTTTTTAACCTTCTTCAAAGTATACTTACAGTTTAGTCCAAAATAAATTATTATCAAAGTATTTTTAAAGTTTAGTTGTAACTAAATTAATCTATTTGGTTTTAACAATTTAGATTGCAGGTAAGCTTGATGTTGTATAATATCTATGTCTGTTTGAAGTTGAATCTATAAGTACAATAATATCTATGTCTAAATCTATAAATACAAATCTTTGTATTGAGATCATTTAGATTGAACTTTTTTTTTTAAGTTTCTTAAAAAATAGAAATTACCTAAATTTTCCTTATTTAACAAATTTTTTTTCTTCTTCTTTTTCTTATTCTTATTCTGCAATTACTATATCTAATTCAAATGCACGTGCTTTTTTGTTCTCTATTGCCAAAATTGCACAATGCTTTAGACGTTCCTCAGACATTAATTATTTATACTTATTATTAATATCAAATTATACATCCCTATGGATGGAATAGAAAATAGCAGTACCAATCGTAAAACAAGGAAAAATGTTACAAAAGAGCACATTAAAATGCTTAAGCATTTAATTAAAAGAAATAAATCAACAACAAGGATTTCCACTTCTCTTAATTTATCGAAGCGCACACTTCAAAATCTTGTCGTTATGTTAAACAGAGGATAATTCGACGACATGACTGCATTTAAGTCGTTTTCTGATAAAAAACGAGGTGAAAGACCTATAAACGCTCAAATATAAAATATTATCGAATTATGCGTACAAGAAAACAATCTTTGCACGCAAGAAGCAATAAAAGAAAATCTTTCTGCAGCAGGCTTCAACATGTCTCAGCCTACTATTTCAAAAAAACTCAAACGCTCGGATTTATTAAGAAAACGTGTTGTGCATGTGCCAGAAGAACGAAATTCAACACGAATTATTAATGCACGCTATGCATTTGCAAGCGAAATTAACAAAATTTCAAATGAAAAACTTATTTATTTGGATGAAACTGAATTTAATGTGCACACTAACAGCACATATGGTTATTCGCTAAGAGGTACGCGAGCAATTTTACAGTCATCTGCAAATCGTGGCAATAATCTTAGTTTAATTTGTGCTGTTTCAACAATTGGAGTGCTTGCTAATGAAACAAAAACTGGAGGCTGGAATGCAGATTCATTTTGTACTTTCATAACTACAATGATGGCACCAGCGATTAGGAATGCAAATGTGAAAGCGCCGGTGCTTGTTATGGACAATTGTAAATTCCACTGGAGTCTTTCTGTTAGTCAAACACTAGCCTCTCATGGTAAAGCTATTAAGTATCTGCCAGCATACACGCTACAGCTTAAACCAATATAAGAATTTTTCTTCTTCTTTAAAATATACTTACAAACAGGGAGAAAAGCCTCGAAATACGGATAAGGTAATCAGGAATCTTCAAAATATTATGGATACTACAGAGTTTAATATAGTTCCATTTTACAACCATATGCGTAGTTACATAAATCCAGCGCTGGCTCGGCAACCATTTCTTAAACAAATAACAATGAAAACAACCTAATTTATATTTTAAATTTATATATATAAAAATTTAAAAGCGTATTTATTGTTTATATTAAATTATATTAGAAATTTTATGGGTGGTTGACGCATATATAAACGCGCATATAAGAATGAATAAAGGCGCATATAAAAATGAATAAATGCGCATATAAGAATGAATAAAGGCGCATATAAAAATGAATAGACGCGCATATAAGAATAAAGAACCCTGTAAGATACGATCCTTCAAAATATAGTATACTTTACAATGTATAATCACTGATCTCTATAATAACTGGATAGCGCATCTCCTAATAAAATTTCGAAATTTTTGAAGCCAAAAGACGCCATATTGGAAAGCCCCAGAATTTTAATTTTCCGTTAGCTTTAATGTTCGCGCTTAAAATTTAAATTAAATTATGACATACGTAGTTTCAGACTTCCCATATAAAAACAAAAATATGAGTCAAATAAAAAAAGATCTTCGAGGTACAGAATGTTCTGCATATGGATGCAAAAAAAGAAAAAGAACTGGGGGCATAAGAAGCGATAGCTCAGGAAGCTCAGATAAAGAATCTGGTGCTAAAAGAAAATTACCGAGGACTTTTCATGTGTGTATAATTACTACTAGTAGTTCATAGTACATCAGTGTTATAAAATTATACTATTATAGTATGATAGTATTATATTATACTGATCTTATAATACATAAGTATTTATTTAATTTTGATAAATATATTTATTTTTTAGGTTTCCTTTAAATCCTGAGCGTAAAAAGAAATGGATTATAAAGATGCATAGCGATAATTGGCAACCGAGTAAATCTAGTGTTATATGCTCTGACCATTTCATGGAAATAGATATTGATAGAACTGGTCAGATTGTTCGACTCAGAAATAACGTTATACCTACTCGATTTAAAACTTTTCCTGACCATCTAATAAAGGTTTGCAAGACATGTATATATAATAATAATAATAATAACAATAATAATAAACATATATATATATATATATATATATATATATATATATATATATATATATATATATATATATATATATATATATATATATATATATATATATATATCATGTATATATAATATTATATAGTATAATAAAATACAAATGTATATCAGTATGCACCTTTTGATTCTTAATTACCCACTGCAATATGCCTGAGGCTTGTAACATATTTGCAAGGTAAACAGCTTACAAGTTTCTGTATGAATCATTAGTTGGGCAATGTGAGTGTAGCACAACCCAAAGGTTCCTTAGGCATTATATAGTGTATAAAGACGTTTTTATTTTATTTTATGTATACCATGTAATATTGAATATTGTTATATAATATTGTATAATAATGTATATTGTTATAGGTAATAAAATTTCGAAAACCACCTTTTGTAAATACCATTTCACAAACAGAAGTAAACAATAAAGAAAAAGAATCAACGATGGATGAATGCAGTTCAACAATGGATGAATGCAGTTCAAGCTATATGGAGTTAAATAAGAAACTCGAAAATAGCCATAAAAAAATCATCAATTTAAAAAAAAAGCTCAAAGTTGTCCAACAAAAATCACGCCGAATGAAAAAAACAGTAATATCCGTTAAATCTTTGATTAAAAGTTTGAGCAGAAAAAACATGATTTCACTAAACTGTCAAGATATGCTTTTTAAGACATTTTCTGGAGTACCAAGAGCACTTATGAACAAAATAGTTACTGGTAAGCATTCAAAAAAAGGGCAAAAGTATCCTCCTGAAATTAAGGCATTTGCATTGACATTGCAATTTTATTCTACTAAAGCATACGAGTTTGTGCGAAAAACATTTGATTTTGCTTTGCCTTGCCAATCACAAAAGTGGTATTCAAAAATTGATGCAAATCCTGGTTTTACAAAACCCGCATTTCAAGCTATAAAGATAAAAGTAGAAGAAGCAAAAAATAAAGGTAAAGTAGCAGTTTGTTCTCTCATGTTGGATGAAATGAGCATTAAAAAACACGTATCATGGGATGGTGAAAAGTACAGTGGTTATGTTGATCTTGGCAATGATATAGATGTTGACTCAGCACCTGTAGCGAAGGATGCATTAGTTTTTATGGTTGTCAGTGTTAACAGCTTGTGGAAAGTTCCATGTGGGTATTTTTTTATTAATGGTCTCACCAGAAGTGAAAGAGCAAATCTTATTAAAGTCTGCATTCAGCGTTTGTATGATGTTGGTGTCAAAGTTATTGCAATTACTTGTGATGGTCCATCTTGTCATTTTAGTATGCTTTTGGAACTTGGTGCATCATTGAAAGTTACAAATATGGCATCTTCATTTTCACATCCCCTTATAGCAAATTAAAAATTTTTTGTTCTTCTCGATGTGTGTCATATGCTCAAGTTAATGAGAAATACATTAGCCGAAAGAGGTATTTTGCTTGATTCTGAAAAAAATCAAATTGCTGGAAGTACATTAAAGACTTGCAGAATCTTCAAGATGCTGAAGGCCTTAGACTTGGGAATAAACTAAAATCTCAACATATAAATTGGGTGCAACAAAAAATGAAAGTTAACCTTGCTGCCCAGGTGTTCAGTTCCAGTGTTGCTGATGCCATTGAATACTGTTGGAATGTACTAAAGTTACCACAGTTCAAGGGTTGTGAAGCTACAATAAAATTTATTAGAATAATTGATCAGCTTTTTGACAACCTTAACTCAAGAAATCCAATTGCCAAGGGCTATAAGTCAGCATTTCGAGTCAGTAATAAACACATTTGGAATCCTTTTCTTGATAAAGCTTATAGGTATATTTGAATCAAAATAATTTTTTTCAATGCTTTTTAAATTAATTTCTCATAGGTGAGTGTGAGTGTATTATAAAAAAAAGATATTATTTGCTAGGTACATATCTGGTATTCAAAATGAAAAAGGGATAGAAATGCATAAAACAAAAAGAAAGACTGCCTTTATTGGATTTCTTGTTGCAATAGAGAGCACAAAGCAGGTTTGCTTTATATATATATATATATATATATATATATATATATATATATATATATATATATATATATATATATATATATATATATATATATATATATATATATATTTAAAAATATTATGTAGCAGTCACCTTATTTCTTGCTGCACTTTTGTTACCTAATTTACATTTTACCTGATGTTGGCGTGGGAGACAGAGGGGTCTATTGATTGTTTTTATTTATATTTATTTTACATATATAGTATTCATATTAGCAATATTTGACTTATGTCATAAATTGATATTGTAAACCTAGATATTTTATAATAAAAATATAGTTAAAAAATTTGTACATTTAAAAGAAATTACTTTAATAAAATGATTTTTAGTAAATATTAAAATAAGACTTGGATTTTATATTTGATTTAGAAATAAAATGGAGGAAGAAAATAAAGGTTTCATCTAGTATTTCATATCATATTTATAATAAGAATTAGATGTGAATTAAATTATTGATGAATCATATCTAATTTGAAGATTGAACATTGTTTTTATTTAATAAGAAATATCTTTATGGATAAGTTGTTTCGATATAAATTTATTAAACTGTTTTTAAATTATCTGGCCACTATCTAAATCTTTATGTATAACTTAAATATTTCTTTCACTGTTTTAGATGCCCAAAGTTGTAGTGCAGCCAACAACATCAGTTAGTTACTTTCTGTATTCAATAGCTTAGTAGTTATTAAATAGATGCTATTATAATATATGTTCTATATATGTTCTATATTTATATATATATATATATATATATATACACATATATATATACATATATATATATATATATATATATATATATATATATATATATATATATATATATATATATATATATATATATATATATATACATATATATATATATATATATATATATATATATATATATATATATATATATATATATATATATATATATATATATATATATATATATATATATATATATATATATATATATTAGTTTTCTAATACAGTTCTTTATTATGCCTGTGTAGATTGTTGTCTAACAATATTATTTCTTGTTAGTTGTATTTTTGTATACTTAATACTTACATTTTTTTAAGTCACTCTTTTTTTTCTGTAGACAATTTAGAACAAACAATCAGTAAGTTAAGTTTGAATTGTTTTAGTTACTATATTAAAGTATTTTTATGCTGTGTTAGTATTCCTTGTTGAAAAAATGTTTTGATTTAAATTTTTTTTTTAAAAGATTCAAGTTTAAGAAAAAAGATTGTTAAATGGTCAATTAATGTAGCACATAAAAACAGATTTACAAATCAACTGTATCGATGCAAAGTGAGAGATGAGATTTGCCAAAGACAAAAAATCAAGCGCCAAAAAATGGATGAAAAAGTAAAAAGAAAGTTAGAGCGTGAGCTATCCAAATTGAGTTTTAACAAAATTATTAATTCATGCAAGCGCTTGTCCAATGACCAACTATTTGATTTAGAAGATGTCATGTCAGATAGATTTGTTTGGAAGAAACTAGAACATGAATGGTACGATCCAAAAACATGCAAAAGTGTTTTATATAGCGAAAGAGTAGAAAAAGTTAATAAAAGAAAAAATAACTTTATTTACACCACTTCTTACTGGAAAGATGATGAAACTGATATTGGAGCTGTTGACTATTGCATGAAAAAGATCCAGCTTGCTGCTGATGTTGTTTCCAGTGAGTTACAATTTAATTAATTTAATAACACTGCAAGTGTTGTGACTTGTCAAAAATATGTTGCAAGTGTTGTGACTTGCATAAATAATATTTATTTTGAAACAGGAAATTTGTTTATTAACCGAAGAAAATGGTTAGCTCGTTAACCATACTGTATGGTTCTGTTAATGTGAGAATCACATGAAAGACAATAATATAGATATTTGCTATACTTGGTTATAAAGATGACATGTTTTTTAAAGCCAATTGACTTAATTATAGCCCCACAATAGTAGTTGCACAATTTTTTTAATAATATATAACCAATTAAATAATAATATTAAGTTAGAGGGGGAAGGGGCATTAGAATGCCTCTTTCCCCTTTAAAACATCATCAGCATATCTACTATGAGTTTTACATTCATCTTCCATATTTGATGGTTGTCTGATATGAATTTATTTTTTAATTTATTTCCAATTTCATGATTTCATTTTTAAATTTATTATTCAAATTTTGAAAACAGTAATTGTATATATTTTTTTAGGATGGGTGGGGGGGGGGCATACGCCCTCCTGTAATAGAAACACCACTTGTAGACATAAGATCATGTATAACATAATTTTATATTGTATACTAATTTTACACATTCCAGTAAAGATATAAATATAAAATCAAGTCGTTTTTGATACTAGAGTGTATCAAACCACCACCACCACACCCACCTTTATTGCTAACATACACCTCTCATATAATTTAATGGTTAAGTATAAATTTAAAACAATTTGTTTTAATATTTATATTGCTTATGTCTTTAAAAAAAACTTTTTTTCCAAAAAAAGTGTTCAGTTTTGTACGGGGATGGTGGTGGTTTGGTGCCCCCTCTGTCCATCCGAAACGCCCAGTGGTTAGAGTTTAACATAAAGTTGTAGCCCACTCTTACACCTATCTTTTGACACTAAGATATTTGTTTTTCGATAAGAATTGACAAAGTTATGACAATTTAAGTAAAGAAAAACAATATTTTGACCACAGTTTCTTCAACAAATCCTAATATCGAAAAATCGGTACTTAAACCGTCATAACTTTTGAACCAATAGTTCGATTTTGATAATTTTTTCACCTTTCAAATACTGTAATAATCTTCTTTCTAATAATATATAACATTATAGTATTCAAACAATTTGAAAATTTTACTCACGTACCTACTGATAGATAATATAACACCACACATTACTGATCATGATTATTATGAAGTACCTATTGTGAATATATTATCTGAATACAAAAAATCGGCTATATCATATATATCTGGTTATGTAGCAAAAATGGCAGAAAAGCAGTTAGTGTGTAGAGACTGCTGTCAATCTCTTGGTTCCATTATTTATCAGCATGAATCTACTTTTCTCTCCTTTAAAGATAGAGGTGGTCTTTTTAAACCTTCACTAAGTGTGATTAAAGTGTGTGAATTAACAGAACAGAAATTTGTTAGAATGTCAACAACACTTTCAGGAAAACTACCCATAATAAGATGCGGTATAGTTGATGCTATTTCCATTTCAGTTTTGGAAGACATAAATTTATCTTTAGTGTTTCGGGACTTAGAAAGTCATATGTTTGATATCCCAATTTACGAAAACCATATTTTTATTCTAGTAAAATTACTTGCTAAGTGCTATTGCAAAATAAGATTGCATCACCTTGGAAAAGAAGAATCCACAAAAGTGTGTGGATTAAATGTAAGAAAGACTCTCAGCAAACTGGTATTATTTAAAAATCAATGAAACTAACATGTTACTTTTACATGTTACTGATTTTTAAACAATATCAGTTTGTTGATAGTCTTACTTACATTTTTTGTGATTTGTTAACCAATCACATATAATTTCTTTCTAAAAAATGTTCCTTGAAGTTCTTTCTGTTTGTTGTTTATTGATGTTTGTTATTCGAGAATATCCGTATTTAATATTATTTATTACAATATACTTTTACAATATATTTTTAATAATTTGAATTTGGCAAAAAATGTCGGTTGAATAAATATAAACGAAACATCCAGCGTAAATATACTGATCTCTATATAATAACCGCATAGCACTTCTCAACAATACCACTGTAATTTACTGTAATACATCTCTATAATAACCGGATAAGCACAAATGCATGTCTTTTTTTTACAATATTTAAAGTTTCTATATTTTTAAACACAACAATATCATTGAAATATGTCTCTTGGTTGAATACATATGAAGGAAGTAAAAAGCATAAAATTAACAAATTTTCAAGCGCGATCTCTTTATTTTTAAATTCCGTTCAGCTTTTTGGGGCTTTCCAATATGGCGGCCGAACAAAAAATTGGCTTCAATTTTGATATTAGGGATGCGCTATCCAGTTATTGTTAGGGATGTATCGAAACTTCGGCTTCGGCTTCGGCGTGCCGAAGCTTCGGCAAGCTTCGGTTCGGCCGTAGCCAGGTCAATTTTTTGCCGAATCTTTGGCTTCGGCAAAAAATTTTAAGTAATTAAAGTTATAAGCTACTGTGGGACAAGTTATAAAAATAAGCTGATTGCCAGTGTCTAATAAAGTTATAAATATAGGACTACAGAGTTAAAGTTGGAGTCTATACCATATACTTAGTATTATTTACTCCCAAGTGTCTTGTTATGGAGGGGATAAATAAATAAGTAAAAAAATTTTGAAAAAAATAATAAAGTTAGGGAAGGTCCTCATACACTTTGAAAGCTTCCAAGTGTGACTTTAGATGAACTGAAGCAGCATTTCTATGCAGAATAAAAACCTTATAATTTAAAACAAATTAAAAGTTTTTAAAACCGTAATTTGTATTATGTAACGATTTCATATTAATTATTGTGTGGGATTACCGCAAATAGAACAAAATGGTTTCAACATTTGACCGATAAACCTTAGTAATCTCTCTTTAAAGAAGATTAAAAATACGTTGCTACTATTTTAAATTGTATGTATGTTTAATTTTTTAAAATTTTATTTAACCATATTAATAAAAATTTACAAATTTTCATCGTAAATTTACAGAAATTGGTTAGGTGTCACTTATATAGATACAAAATAGTCAATGGAATGACACATAAAAAACAAAAAATTCTCAACAACAAAAAAGGAAGAAAATCAAATGAAATATAAACGAGGAGAATAAAAAAAGAAAAAAAAAGCCAACAAAAACTAGATAAATTAAAAGAAAAAGAAAAACAATGATAATAACTATCCTTGCTCTTTTATAAATATTATGAATACTTCTAAATTGAATTTATATATTAAACATGTAAACCAATATTCTGGTTTCTTCTTATGATATTATGAATTTTATTTAAAATAAATTAAAGGTTGAAGCTTTGATTACTTTGAGCTCTTATATTTACCATCAAAATTTATTTAAATTAAATAAACAATTTAAATCAAATAAATATCAGCCTGCTCAGTCCCTGTTTATTTATAAATATAAATAAACAGGGACTGAGCAAAATAAAAATTAAAGTAAATAATAATATAATTATAAATAAAAAATTTATAAAGTATTCAATTTATTATTTTATTTAAAGCTCACTCTACAGAGTTGTTAGATTACTTTGGAAGTTTTTATCACAGATAGTTAATATTTGATTTCAGATACTGATGCAGATTTATCCATTATAGAGACAGAAGAAGAATGAATACTAAGATTTCAAAGTATAAAAGATTAAAAAAAGCTATAGAAAATGTTATGTAGTGTTAAGTTAAAAATAATCAAAAAAAAAAAATACTTAAAAGTGTGTAAAAAAGAAGTTAGAGAGAAATCTATCATTGGAACTTTTTTTTAGCAGCAGGTTCACAACAGTTGTAGTGGAATCCAAAATGGTCTTAACTTGGGTTTTTTTACGTTTAGAAATTGTTCGTTTAAAGAATACAGAGAAGTAAAAAAAAGATATTGAAATAAATAGCAATAAAAAGATAAAGTGTGTTTCTAAGATTTTTTATGTTGTAGATACAACTAGATCAGCTAAGAGTGTTTATTTAAAGAAAGAGTGATCGAGTGCAAAAGATAAATTTGCTCTAGTAATGTTCAGAGATTTTTATCCACTTCTATTAACAAAAGGTGCATTAAAAATAAAAATAAAATATACAGCACATGAAAAGATGCTATATAACATTAATATGGTTTGCACACAGAAAAAGTAGAATTAGAAGTAGGAAAATTTGGGGAGAATGTTTCAAAAAAGCTTAAGTTTAAAAAAAATACGCTCGATGCGGTCAAGTATCAGAAACGACATAATAAGAAACTTTTAAACAGGGGCGCTGAGAGCTTTTGCCCTGCCTGGAACAGCAATCCTCATTTTTATACGATTTTTCTATATTATTAGTCAAGGACCTTAGTTTTGGTACCTTTTTTGTTTTACACCCCTGCTGATCTGAATGCTGATTAAATTTTAAGCATATATAGTGCCGAAGCTTCGGCTTCGGCAAAGTGGCTTCGGCCGAAGCTTCGGCTTCGGCAAAATTTCAGCTTCGGTACATCCCTAGTTATTATAGAGATCAGTGTGTATAATGCATATATAAACGCGCATATAAGAATAAATAAAGGCGCATATAAAAATGAATAAATGCGCATATAAGAATGAATAATGACGCATATAAAAATGAATAGACGCGCATATAAGAATAAATAACCCTGTAAGATACGATCCTTCAATATATAGTATACTTAACAATGCCTATATCCGTCATTCACATATAAGTATCACTTTTCCTTTGACTACAATGAACGGATACACTCGTCGTTCAATATCAATGAGTTAAGAAGGTTTTTGTATCCAATAACAATAATAAAAATATTACTGTATTAACAAATATTGCTGAAATTTAACGTCGCGTTAAATCTGTGACAGCTTTTAGGTTAATTAAGATAAAATCTTTTCTGCAACAGTGGTGTGTAGAATTATTAAGTATGTAACACCAGTGTTGTGTAGAGTTATTAAGTATTAAGGTTTAGACAAGGTAATGCCTGCTGTTGTTGATCTTTTTAACAAAAATATAGGTTGATCAAAGTGATCAAATATTCACTTCAAAATGTAAAAAGGTTAAGAAAATTTGACTGTTTTGACTTTTTATAAAATAAAAAAACTTTTATTTCTGCCAACAGCATTAAATGTTTATTAAAGTATTTTCCGAGTGTTTCTAAAACAAAGATAACATTGCTAAACAAAATAAAATTAAAAAAGTATACAAAAACACCTTTTATAAAGTAATACTAAATTCTTAACCAACTAACACATAATTTGAAATAATTTTTCTCTTAATTTTTTACATTCATCTAAATCATATCCATTAATAACTGCAACTGAATATCCTCCGGGAGGATTTGAGTATGAATTAAATGGAACATTTTCATCAAATGTCAGTTGAATGCTAGTTACATTTAAAAACTGCTTTTTTAAGTTATCTATTACTTCTGGTGCAGGTTTCTTATATTGACGTGGTTCATTAAATAATACAACACTATATCCAATTCCTTTAGAAAAACCAACTGTAAATTCTTTATTTGCATATAAATTCACTAATGAAGGAACAAACCAGTCACCATATAAATCAGGCCATTGATCAGCAAATCGCAGGTGAATTTCAATAACTACACCATCAATAGTTTCTAGATTCATCATTCCAGTGTAGCCAGAAAACAATCGCTCCACAAAATCTTGAACTACAGTATTCAGAAATTTGTTTTCTTTAATCTCCCAGTAATCAAAAGTCCCATCTTTTAACGCATGGCCTTTTGTATGGCATTGCCATTTGAGTTTACCGTCAACAAGAGCCACATCAGAACTCCAGTGTTCGCCTAATAATAGCTTACACCACATATGACCTGGTTTCATTGAGTTTAAATATTCTTCTTCATCTTGAAAAATTTGTATACAAGCTCCCATGCCACGAAGGTTATATATAGGTTTACTAAATATTGGATACTTGCAATCTTTAGGTGGCAGTGTACCATGAGGTCCACATGGTAAGTTTTGTTTTTCAGCAACTAACAGCTTATTGTACACCCAGTTGTACTCTGGAAACAGATGATATGCATCTATATCTTGAGTTGGAATAATTACATCTTGTGGACATAGATAGTTTTCAAAATATTGCTGCCTCCAGGTATCTGGTTCAAGTATAGGCATTTTATTACAGACTTTATTTCTAAATAAAATAAAATTGTTAAATGTGTTGATACATTAATTAGTGAAGCTCCAATACAAAAGTAAATCAAAAAATTAAAAAAAAAGTTTCAAGTTAAAAGATTGCTTAATTGAATATTATATTTTTGAGACTGTAAATATAACGAATATAATGTTTATAGAGGCAAAGCAAAAAAGAGAAAAAGTTTCTGTAAGGTACTTTGAACTTATTATATTAACTTATTTATAAAAACTAATTTATTAACAACGTTATATATATAAAAAAAGTTGGTATATGTAAACATATATATATATATATATATATATATATATATATATATATATATATATATATATATATATATATATATATATATATATATATATATATATATATATATATATATATATATATATATATATATATATATATATATATATATATATATAAATTTAACGTTTGTGGTAAGCGGCTCTTAATGAATATTTGTGTTTAAGGAAGAGAAAATCAAGTAAACTTTATTAAATGTAATTGAGGAAACTAATTAAACTTTATCGATTTTTAAAAAACCACAAAAACGCAAATTAAAAGACTGGAATGCTTTTAAAAACAATCAAAATGTTTTTTTTAAATCAAAATTAAAACAATTTGAATGTTTTCATTTTAATGATAGATACATCGCGATTGACAAATAAGTAGAACGAGGGAGGAGTGCAGCTACTTTGACTAAAAAATAGGTAGAACATGCGATGACTGCTGCTACATCAACTGATAAATTAGCAAAGCATGCGAGTAGTGCTGCTACATCAACTGAGGATTTTAGTTTGGGCAGGCAATCTTTTAATTAATTTTTTTTTTTTTTTTTAACTCTTAAACTTTTTTAAGGGATCGTCTATAAATTACACAACGCTAAATTTATTTTAAAAACAGAAGGGGATCGTAGGCTTTTATACGCGGTGATTTTCAATGAGCTACTTTTAACTTAAGGCTCTACGAGGGAAAACCTTTTATCTTTTTTATTTTGTTAATTTGTGAAGTTTAGCTTTGCGTATTTTATAGACGATCTAGATTACAGGGTAATTAATAATTATATAGGAGAGAGTTGCCTTAATGCGAACACTAATGGAATAAATATTTATTACTCAAAGATGGCTTAAATATGAAAACATTTTTGATTTGATTAATACAAACAGACATACCGACAATTTGACTTAATTGATTGGAAATAAATTTGTTTATGCAAAGTTACCATTTTGTTCCAATCAAGGCAACTGGTTCCCTATATTGGAACACTATGGTTCCTTAATCAAATAGGTTATTTAAAAAAAAAAATAACCCTGTAAAACCAACAAAATTTGTAAAAAATTATTTTTATCTTTACAATGAAAATTTAAACAGTTAATTGAAAACTTATTATAGGATCAGTATCACCCTAACAAATTTAAAGTCTACAAACAAAAAATTGTAAAAAGCTTCAATAATTATGACGTTCTCTTAGTTTATTGATTATAAATCACTAAATAAAGTATTATTTTTAATGTTTATGGTTGTTACTAAGTATTTTTTTAAATGTACTTGAACTATTTTTACAACCCTTTGATTTTATTACTGATTAGGTAAGGAAAACTTCAATGTTCCAATCAAGGAAACTTTCAGCTATTTTGTTATATCACTACAATAACATGCTTGCAGCAACTTATAAGATAAGTTTATATTGTTATTTTGCATTTTAAATCCCATCGAATTAAATACAAAAAACGGTATTACCTTAGCACAATAGTTTAGCCAGCGCAATCAATATAGTGTGAACACATTGAAAAAAAATGACGGAAAAAAACTTTAAATCAATTGTACAAATGCATTTTTTGAGGAATAACTTTCAAAGTGTGTCAAAACGTTGAAAATAATGCGTTTTACTAAAAAAATGCAAAATATAGCCATAATTAATTTTTTTTCAAAAATAAATGCAAGTGTTCCAATTAAAGACGCTGTTCCACTCTTCCCTAGCGATTTATTAATAATTATATATCGGTTTATTAGTAATTATATATCAGTTTGTTAATAATTATATAGCGGTTGTTTACAACTACATATAATTCATGAAATACCTTTCTTAGTTAAAATAAAAAATACATCCATTAAAATAAATATAAAAAGGGTTGTTAACTGTTAAGTTTTTATTTAAATGTTTGTCCTATAAAAGCAAAATCAAGATAATGCTTCATATGTTAATAAAACGCCATAAAATTAACATTCTTATTCATATCTGCTACAACCGTATTAATGTGTTGAATAATATCTTCTTCAGTTTCTTGATATGGACGTAATTTTTAATACCTGTTCTTTAAACATGAAAATACTTCTTCTATAGGATTTAACTGTGGGGAATATGGGGGCAGATATCCGGATCTAATATTCTTATGCCTGAAAAATTGAATTATCGGTCCAGATTTATAAAATCTTGCTTCATAGCATTGCTTGAGAAATTTTAAGAAAATTTCAGTATTGAAAGGTCCTTCAATAATTGAATATTTTAAGGTGGTACTAGCCCATAAAAATTAAAACAGTCAATTTATTTAATTTTGTTGCAATATTTTTCTAAAACTGTGTGTATTTAAAAATTATTTAGAGTAAATATAATAAAAAGTATAATTATACTCAAAAACATGCTGAATCAGCAAAAAATATACAATTTTAACTGTATTTTCAAACAAGGATTTCTCATAAAATAGTAAAAGTTTGAGACTAAAATTTTGCAAAAAGGTTAACAACATGTTGATTGAGGGATTTGACCAAAATCACTATCAGAACTTTTACCGAATTAAAATGGCTGCACTTTAAAAAATAATTTTTAATTTTTATGTAAAATTTGTGCTGCCTATGTCAATATCTCAACAACAGCTAACTATAAAATTCTCTTTTTGGTCAAATCCCTTCACAATAACCTGATAAACAATCTGTAAAAATTTTAACCATAATCTCCAAGTAGTTCAAAAGATATTCTTGTTCAAAGTTTAAAAATCTGTTAACAGAGAAAATGCAAGAAAAAAAAATAAAACAACATAAACAATATATATCTTTAAAAATTTCCAGACACATAAGAGTCATCCTTGCTAAATCCTTTTCTTATACCTCTCAATTTTTTTCTCCTTGATATTGTCACTTCTTTTTCCTTCCTTTTCATATGAATGATGCGATTTTTGTCTTTTTTATTGCTCCGAGAAGAAAATATTTTCCACAATGAAATCCAAGTTGTTGAAATGTTTCTTTATGCGAAACGTAACCTCCATTAAAAGATATAAATGCTGAGAAAACAGCTAACTCTAAAACCCTTTTTGAAACAAAATGTATTTTGGGGCATTTTTTCCAGATTATTTGATTAAAAGACTCATTAGGATTTTGGGTATAGCAGTGTAAATATTTTGACAAAAGATTATCAGAACTAAGTTCCATAAATATTAGATCTAATAGGTTTTTAATAGCAACTGATAAGTTTAACTTTTTTTTATAAGTGCATTGGCCTGTAATCTTATCCCTTTGCCATTTGCACCAGCTAGTATTGGTTCTGGGACAAAATTGATGGCGCATAGCAGCATCACCTTCACAGCAATTCCATAAAACTGCAAGTACAGTTTATCATTCGTCAGAATGATAAACTGTACCCATTCACAGGGTATAGTTTATCATTCTGACGAATAGCCATACCAAAGTAATTCTGCATTAAATTAATGCTTGCATCAGTAAGTCTTCCTTTACCTGAGAAAGTTTTACTGTCATGCAACTTTTTTTTTTTTTTTAATGCTCGTAGATTCCGAAGTCTTGTTCCAAGCCTCTTTTGAACATGACCGAGACACTCTAGTTTTTCTGGTATCAAAGTTTCTCCATAAGGTCTTGCTTCTCTAACTTTGCTGTATGCTGTAGTGTCCCCCACCTTAAGTTAAATGAAAACTTAATGAAAAACAAAAAATTAAAATAGCATCACCGGATTCCATAGCACCCGATGATTTGTGATGATTAATTGCACACTTATGTCTTGTTTTCCATAGGTCATAACCAGCTGATCCTTTTCTTTTTGACCAAATCTCATAAGATTTACAAAATTTTGACATGGTGTGATAGTCTAAGACCTTTTTATTATTCTTTGAAATTGTAGATACCACGCCATTCAGGTAAGAATAACCCCTTTTCCGCCATGTCCCATCAATAGAAATATGACAGTTAATAATATCATTGCTACACGCATTGGTGTTAAGCATTTGACGCACTTCATGAGCAGCTTTTTGGGTACTTTTTTCAGCAGATTTTTTATATTCCCAATAAAGAGTCTCATTTAATTTTTTTATACGAAGTAAATGCAATAGAAAATGGCATATTCATCATTGTTGTAAATGTTAATTTCCATGAAAATAACTTCTTTTTATTCTTTTACTATTTTTTTTATTTCCCATTTAAGAACATTGCAGTAAAATGTGAAAAATAAATTCAATAAAATAATCATAACAAGCTGTTATTGATATACTAATATAAATTCACTTCTTTCTCACTATACAATTCATTTTAAGTATTAAAAATGGAATTAACGTATTTGCAAAGTTGATATAAAGCAAAGTAGATATATATAAAATGTAAAAAATTAATTGTTTGATGAAATTTATGGAAAATTAGCCCAAAAGTAAGCATTGCTTATTGCTGCTAAGGGTTTCTTTTTAAGATTGTATTTCTAAATTAACATTTTATGTCACTAAATTACTTAAAAACATAGTAAAACTATACATTTTTGAAATCTATAATGATTCTATTTTTCAAATTTAGAAAAAAAAAAAAAATCTGAAAATCTTAAAATTTGTTGGGCTAGTACCACCTTAAGATGGCTCCGACTGATATTAATGGAAGTAGACTGATATTGCGACTTTTGTTTGCAGGAACAGTTTATATGCAGGAGTGTTTTTAGGTCTTGAATGTAAATTGAACTCGGTTTTATCCAAGACAAACATTTGAGAAAAGTCAATACTTTAATATTG